GAAACTGGTCATGTGCTGCCTCCTGAGGATCAGTTGTAACTGAAAATGCAAATTGGAGTGTACTTGTTAAGCAGAAGTGGTAATTTTAAGAATGATGCAGCATGGTTTCAATAGTTGATGATAAAAACATAGACAAGAATGCAAAAATTAATGGAAAGTATACATGAAACATATTATGGAAAAACTGCTTGTAAATCATGTGTACAAAGCTGTGTGTATTAAGAGAAATGTGTACAATATAGTTGCATGAATTTTCTCACCAAAACTATTTGGGGGGGGGGCTATGTTTTCAAGTAGAGATAGGCCAAAACAATCTTGGTGGGGTTGGATGGAGGACATTTTCCTGAAATGTGCAAAAAGCAGTTCTTTTTAGGCCTCACGATGTAAAGAAGAGAGTGGGGAGTCATATGGTCTCCATCCATTGACCCAGCTCTGGGGCTTTGCACTTTCAGCAAAGCAAACTCTGAATAGGCTTCTCAATACACATCTGCATTTTTATTTGTGAGGAACAGGATGCTAGGTTGAAGATAACGTCTGTAACCCTATTACTACCCATTTAACACATTTATCTGGAATGCCAGAATGGAGCTAATATTATTCTCAGAGAGTGATGTCTTTACTATCACTTTCTTTTACATCAAGAATAGGCAGCCCATGACCCTAGTGCTACATTCAGCCTTCAGACCCTTTTTTTGGCTCCAGAACTCCCTAATTTTGGCTGCGTAGACACATTTTGGAGGAATAATTAACAAAGTTTATTGGCTTTGTTTTATTTTATTTTAGTAAATTTATTAAAACTAAATTGGCACAGTTTCCAGGAATTGGGGAACAAAAACTGTAGAGGTTAATATACTTTAAAATAATAAAGTAATTCTTCACTCAACCCATTCTATATTGCAGAAAACTTAAGAAATTCTGTTGACTCCAAATCAATTTTTAGTTGTGTTCATGTCTCATTCATTCATTCATTCATTCATTCATTCATTTGCCATATTTATATAACCACCCATCTCACACAAGGTCTATTTTAGTTTGTGCACTGCCAGAGTCCATTGGAAATGGGCAGCCAATAAATTTATATAATAATAATATAATAATAATAATTAATATTATTATTATTAATATTATTATTATTTATGTCATTATTCCACCTCTGTGAGGTTTTTCTGCAAAATGTTAAGTGACACCAAAAATTTGCCCACCCCTGTGCATCATGATCAGTTTTGTGGCACTCAAACTCCTCTTTACATATTGAAAATATATTTTATTAAATATAGCTATATTATGCTATGGCTGGTGTGGGTCTTCCGGGCTGTGTGGCCGTGTTCTTGAAGTTTTGTTTCCTAAC